GTTTAGCACGTGCACTACGACTATGAAAAGCCACGATCAATGGAGCTACGAAATTATGATTCACCATGTCAACAGCACCCGACAAAAAGATGTCTGCATACTTCTGAGTCAATACGTCACTTTAATTCTTGATCACTGTTATAATATCAAAGGTAAAAACTGGCAGAACGGTAAGTTATTGAACTAATATTCATTTTGAACATGAAGTATAAAAACAATTCAATCAGGAAAAGCTTTAAAGAAAAAAAAGGTCCATGTGTGTAGACTACATGACTTTACAAGCATTTGACACATTAAATAAATATCATTCAGTGTCTACTTCAATGTGCAGCAGCTTTTTCCACATAGTCTAATGCTCTTTCCACATAATTAAGTAATTATTAGAGTAATTAAGAAGAGATTGGTCATGAATTCTCTTTAAATGTGGTTTAAATTGTAATTTCATGTTTGAAGATACCTGATGAAGGTCATGCAACCGAAATTACCATTGTAATTAAACCTTTTTGATACTTTTGCACTATTGACAGTGTGTGGGAATTGTTTTATTTTTTCTTGAGTTTTGATCTTTGTGGTCTCTGTTTCCTACGCACCTATCAATTGCCGTCAGGTGTGTGGAGATTGATTGTTAATTAGAGTAATGAAATTAACATTCGACTTCTAGCCAACAGCAAGAAGGCTCGCAATCTAATGAAGAACAGATGAAGAGGAAGCATGAAGCAGGCCTGTTTGTAGGCATAGGAAAGCTTAGTCTCAGCCTCAGACGTCACGCCCACGGACCGTTGGCTAAACGTCTGATGCATACAGCACACAAAAGTGGCAACACTTCAGGAGTTTCGAAGTCGTCATTGGATTGGTTGAATTATACAGGATTTCCGGGAGATGTGTGTGTCGCGTTCTTTAACGTTCCGCCTGCAAGCAAAGATGCCGTGTCACCAAACCCTCTCACGAAAGAAGAAAGCCGTCGTGTTTACAACTGTGATGACGAGTGCTTATCAGGGTCAACTAAACGCTGGATTTTCAAAAGTATGTGAAATATTTAAAGTTTGAGGCATAGAATCTTCAAAATACGTCCGAGAGTTTTACACACCGGTCTGTTATTGTGGCGCCCCGAAACGTGATGATGAACGAAACAAACTGTGATTGGTTGTTTGACATGTCGGTCAAACGGCCTCATGGGTGGGCCTAGGCCAATGAAAGCTGCCATGGATTCCAGACCTTCAGCCGTCAGTCTGAAGGTCTGGCTATGCGAGACTAAGGAAAGCTAGGCGGTCGCCTAGGGCGCCACCAGCAGGAGGGGGCGCCAATGAGAGCACATACTGGCACTACGTTTTAGCAGAGTTGAAATATGATTGCCGACCCCACTGGATCCCCCAACATCATTGGGCGAGAGTACTGTCAATCATGTCTGTATGCCAATGGATCAGAGCGCTGTCAATTGCTGCCTGATTGTTGCATGCAAAGTTTGCATTTGGAGCACTCAACAACACCGATAGATGGGTTCTGTCAGTGCTTTGGCAAGGTAAGGTTTTTTTTTTTTTTTTCCATGCAATAAAGCTAAGTTCAAAGGCCAATTTAAAATATTGGTACAGTAAAAAGTGCACAAAATGAGTATTTTGTTAAGGTAGTATTTGTGGCAGTCGAGAAATCATGCTGCAAAATTGGTCCAAAAGGTGTGCGTTTTTGCACAAATGCATTGTTAAAGGATGTCAGCAGGGTCCCCATGGGCTTTGTGGTGTTATTTGCCATAAATACGATAGGATTGCTGTAATTTTGTGAGATTTAGCGACTGTTTGTAGTTGTGGTGGGCCTATTTGGGAGAAAATCCAGGGCCGTTTTTTACTCCCAGTCCATCCCTGCACATAAGTATACTGTATACAGCGTCAAAGTACAACAGTTTATTAGAATAACAACATATTTTTACTTCAAACTCGTGTTACTGCGTCAATAACAGCTTTTGTTTGAAATTACTTATTTCTGTGGACTGATGTGGCTTATTATCAGTATGATTAGCATTGCATTATAATACATTATCCTTATGAAAAATACCTGAGATGGCTTGAACACAGATAAACCATACACTGTTGCAATATGTTAATTATCTTCATGTTTCATCAGACAAACATTTTCTACATTTTATTCAGCTACAACCATAGCTGGATGCCTTTGGATTTACTGGAAAGTCGTTTAATTATTTCTTTGCGTCTGGCTTGTGGAGTTTCTGTACGAGGGCGCCCTCCGGGGTCGAGTATGAATGAAACAGACATTACATGTGAGAGTTGTGTACTTTTCAATACCGGTATATCATGACACCCTTAAAGTATTAGTTCACTTACAGAATAAAAATTTCCTGATAATTTACATCCAAGATGTTCATGTCTTTCTGTCTTCAGTCACAAAGAAATTAAAGTCTTTGAGGAAAACATTCCAGGATTTTTCTCCATATAAAGGACTTCAATGGGGACCAACGGGCTGAAGGTTCAAACTGCAGTTTCAGTGCAGCTTCAAAGAGCTCTACACGATCCCAGTCGAGTAATAAGGGTCTTATCTAGCAAAACCATCGGTCATTTTCTTAAAAAAAAAATATATATTTATATACTTTTTAACCACAAATGCTCGTCTTGCACTAGCTCCTCCGCAAATTCACGCATGATGTAATCATGTTGGAAAGGTCACGAGCGGTTAGCTCTTCCTCTGTGTACTGCGGTTCAGAAAGGTAGGGTAGGGCGAAAAACTCCATCTCATTTTCTCCTCCAACTTCAAAATCATCCGATATCATTGTTTTACCTTTTTTGTAAAGGGCGTTTGACTTTTCTTTGCTTTTTAATTACTGGGTCGGTACTTCCGACCTATATGTCACGCTTGACCTTTCCAATGTGATTATGTAATGCGTGAAGTCAAGCATTTGTGGTTAATATATATATATATTATTACCATTTTCTAAACTATAGCGAATAAACTGTGATAATGTGAGAAATGTTGAAGGTGTCTGAATGCATTTTGGTTTGACTGTATCTATTTGATAAATGAAGTTAACCAACTAACGTTATACAAACCCTTTTGGTTTCTATACCAAATATTAAAAAAATTTACAAATGCAATAAAAATATCGGTATCGGCAAGTACCAAAAATAAAAGTATCGGTATCGGGCGAGTACTGGAAAAAGTGGTATCGGTGCATCCCTAGTATATACAGTATTTACATACATGGGTCCCGCTGTGGCGACTCAGTGTCTGAGCTTCTTTCTTCGTGGTTCCTCAGGTCGCAGCTCTTCACTGATATCCACATGGACATGAGGAGCCAAGCTGCTTCTGCTGAATGTGGAGAATTCATATCAAGAACAACTGCTCATGCTATGTGTGTATAGCATCTTTCTTTGGTTCATGATTAAAATGCATGTTTGCCTGTTATAGAGCAAAGGTTTTGGAGCTTCATGAAGCAGAATCGCCCATTACTTGCTTTAGGTTTTAAGTTGTTTACTCACCCTCATGTCTAGGTCATGGCTGTCAGTTGTTTGTGAACTGAGTCTGTTGTAAATTGTGAGCTGTTTAGCCCTAAATGTGGGCATTTTGGTAAAAACTATAAATAAACTTCTCATGCATCTTCCCCACTGCTGTAGCAGCTTCGAAATATATAAAACTAGTAGCTTTAACAAATTTGGCCTGTGACGTGTTTTAAAATTGTACAAGATGTCATTACACATTCACATACACATTGTTTTCATAAAAAAAATATATACTGTATGGTAAATGTTGTTTTCACTTGTTTGCACAGTTGTGTTACAGTATCAGTAACTTTGATATTTTAGATAGTACAGTGGGTACGGAAAGTATTCAGACCCCCTTAAATTTTTCACTCTTTGTTATATTGCAGCCATTTGCTAAAATCATTTAAGTTAATTTTTTTTTAGTACAGAGGCACAGCGTGTCAAACCCTGAACCTGGAGGGTCACGTCCTGCAGAGTTTAGCTCCAGCGTTAAACACACCTGATCCAGCTACCTATAAAGTTTTCATAATAAAATCAAATGTTTGTTTACTTGCAGATCAATAAATATTTAATGTTTGCATCCACTAATCTTACTTGTTGACTAGTGCCGGCTAATTGATGGCTCAAAATAATTTGTAAAAATGCCTAGGGCTGCAGCCAATGATTATATCGATCATTGATTAATATAGCAATCATTTACTCGTAAACTAAAGGGGCTTTTAATTTTATGGGGGAAAAATGTTTATTCTACATCTTCGACATCTCCAAACAAACAGCAAACTGAAGGCTATGGAAACTACAGTGAATGTAGCTATATGTATGCTGGTATGTACGATATCTCTGGTCTCATAGGAATAAAGCAGCTATGGACATGTTTTTGTAAAGTGTGCAATAATTGATGGTAAAAATTGTTTTTCATGAGAAATGTCCACTGTGTGGCACTAGAAGCACTACAAATTGACTCATTTTAATTTAATTTTTTAAATTCCAGATATTGATATGGTTAGGGCTTTACAATGGTTTGGTTTCATATTTGATAAAAATACATATGTTTAACATCAGATTAAAACCTCAATATTGGAGAAAATTAAACTGGCTTTTGGGTCCACTCAGTGGAAACGGCAAAAATCTATGCAGCCATTTTTTTTCCCTTCTCAGTGCATCTCAACATTTTTTTCTGTACTCGTTTCAGTGCGTCTAGGGGCCATCAGGAGACACTGCTTTGGTTTCTTTTCTGCATAGTCCACAGACGACTTCTAGAATGCTTCCCTTTTTTCCAGAAACTAAGAAACTAAAATCCAATGACCACTCTTGCTCACTTTAGAACAAAGAAAACGTCCAACACAAGTGAGATGAGCACTTTTATTCTCTTAGTGCAGTAAACATTTTTCTTTTTATCTTATATCTTTTGCATGGTTTTTGTATGTGTGTGTATATAATTATATAGATATATATTAACACCGCATCATGAAATGAAAAAAAATAAAAAGCACAAGACAGCTGGACATGCTTTTCAAGTAAACGCTATTGAAATGAAAACCAATAATAAATATACACACCCACACAACAATTCTCAGTACCAAAACAGTAAGGTTACCAAAAGGTTAAAGGTAACAAAAAATAAATACAACAAACAAAAGTGGCTGTTATACAATGCAATATCGTTTTTTTTTTTATTTTTATTTTTTAAAGTAGCTCCCTCTCAGATTATATATAACCTGTTATAAATAAATGTTCGCACATAATTGCAGGTAATGCACCTAGTACCACTGCAGCAGGGACACAAACTCACACTGAAATGAACAAAAGTACCAAATAGGTTTTTTTTTTTTTTGATCTCCCAATTTTTGCAAGCAGTTAAAAGAATAACTTCACCCAAAATGAAAATGGTGTCATTTACTCAACTGTTCCAAACTGGTATGACTTTATCATATGAAATACAAACTTACTTTTTTAGTAGTAATTTGTTTACCCCTAAACAAACTCGGAGCTACTTTCCAGAATGTCCGAGCTGCTTTTTTCCATACAGAGAAATTAATGGGGACAACAAAACAAGATAACCCCATATGACTTATGACATTTGACAAAACAAAAGAAATAAGCCCATATGACTTCTGCATGAATCTTGTTAATCAGTTAAAAAATCGTTGAAATCATCTGATGCCAAATCTAATACAACATACCTTTATATGCCATTTGTGCATGAAGGATTTGAGAACTACTAACAGAACATATTAACAAAACAGAGTCATATGGATCACATAATACCTGTATTCACTGTATAGAAAAGAGCTGCTAGGACGCCATTCACAATAACAAAAGAAAGTATGTCTGGAACAGCATGAGTGCGAGTAGACATTTCATTTTTGGGTCAACAATTCCTTTAATAAAACAAATGTCTGACATCAAAAGTACAAATAAATTAAAGGTTAGGTAACAAATCTTAGGTTAGGTGTTCAGTCTTTCGTTGTCCCACACTGTCCAGGATAGACGCGTCTGTTTGTGCTGCATTCCCATACTGAGAACTGCAGAGCGGCTCACTCTCTACTCTATGTGAGCTTAATTGGACTCTTCAGAAAAATAGACTTTGACCTGGTAAACATCTCAACGAATACTATTATTGCACAGTGGAAGGGACAGTGGGACTGGGGAGCTCTCTTACGCTGTATGATCTTTACAGACTGGTCTTTAAAAGTACCTGATTTCTGAAGCTCTTCGTTTCGTAAGAGGACATGTCTAAAGACACTCAACCTCCGTTCCACTAGGGGGCGATAACAGAAATGGCAAGCTGTGAGCAGGGGCATTTTAGAGTCATATGGGTCATGTACTGAGTCAGGGAGTTCCTCTGAGTATTAACAGAGCAGCAGTGACTCATCATCACTAGATTCTGTTTTCGCCGTCGCCTCCAGACAAGCGTCCGGGATCCGCGCCGTATGGACAATCCCACAGTGTTCACAGGGGCCATCCCTACCCACCAGCCGGCCTCTGAGAGAGACGGCAGCAGGGGTCAGCTGGGGCCCAAAGGCCTGCTCCAGGCCTGGTTCCAGCAGGGGCCTGGAGCTCTCATCACTGTCCAGGGAGCTTGCATCCGAGACGGGAATGAGGAGCTCCACGTCGTCCTCATCCTCGCCCCTAATGCCGATACCAGTGCAACCCGCACTTCCTTGCTCCAGTTGCCGCAGAGGGCTGTGATTCTGCCCAATGCCACTTGACCCTCCATCGCTAGAGCGCCCCAGAGAGAAACGAATCCAGCGCAGGCTGCGGGTGACCCGGCTTAGAGCGCTGCCGAAGGGGCTCCTTGCAAAAGTAGTAGTAGTAGTAGTAGTAGCACACGAAGATCCAGTTACTCCAGAACTTTCTGAGATGCTCTCAGAGATGCTGCTCTCCCGGCTGACCAGTGGAGCTGAGCTGGCAGACACCGAGACGATGGCTTCCACTGCTGTTGTAGGGGGAGTTTTCTGTGGCAGTGGGGCCATCAGGCCTCCAACAGCTCCAGGGACATCCCTGCGGGGATGCTGCTCACTCTCAGTGTCCGTATCGTCAGAGTCCAAGGGCAAGAGTCCGCGGTGAGATCCAAGTCTCTCTGGCTCACGTGCCGAGGCACTGCCATCAGGACCCTCTTCTGTGTCCGCAGAAACCAGTGCGAGAGAACCAGACTGCCGTGAACGCGTGAAATTGAACAGGCGTCTCCAGATGTTGCTGTGGCGTCCTGTGGTGGGGAGTCGGATTGAGGTGAATCCCAGCTGAGAGCGAACTGCCAGTCGTAGGTTTTCTAAAACAGATGCCTGAAAGCAAGAACGACAGGGAGCGTTACCTAAGGTCATCTATAACATGCAGGCCAGCCATCATGCTTCATACTGTCTGGGAACTTTCCAAGGTCAGTCAGACAGCACCTTGGTGCAAGTTTACCAAGCCTATTGTAGAGAAGGCTTGGCTCATAAATTTTCACTTAGCCAATACACCAACTCAAATTTAGACATTGGTGAGTTAGTGACATTTTGAAGAAAAAAAAAAAAAACACTCAATATGCAAGAGATCTCTTTAAAACCAACACAAACCCCTGAAATTTCAAATCAAAACAGCTAAACTTAGCATCTTAGACATGTCTAGACATTTCAGTTACTTCCTAAACATAGAAGGGTAAAAGTCACAAGTTTTTGCCACAAAAAAACAAAGACCGTTTACACCAAGGGGGATAACTACCAGTGTTGGGGGTAATTGCAATTCAAGTAACGCAAGTTACGTAATCAGATTACTTTTTTTCCAAGTAACTAGTAAAGTAACATATTACTTTTTAATTTACAAGAAAATATCGGAGTTACTTTTCCAGATAAGTAACGCAAGTTTTCCCATTTTTTTCACTGACAGCTCTCCTGTCCCCATGTTGAGAGAAATCAGGAGTGAGTGCAGAGGTGTTGTGTGTGCTGTGTGAACATGTTACTGTAGATCTAGACTAAATGTGAACACGCATTTACTCATCTCACCTGCACAAAAACAGATTCAGCATTCCTCAAAATTAATAAAAAGTGACATGCAAACTCAGAATATGACGCAAACCTGCAATAATTAGTTAAATAACAAAAATATCCTTTGTATTTAATCTCATTTTATTAAAGAAATGTCTTTACTGTTAACCTTCGATGATCAAATTCAACCATACTAATAAGCAAAAATGACTTTAGATAAACATAACATGTGAACTTTCTTCTCCTATGTCCTGGGGCCCGTTCTTCGTACGTCGCTTATTACATCCGAGATTAAATGTCACATCCAAGATGATATCATCGCGCTAATCAGCATATGGCTAATTCGGTTCTTCAAACACACCTGTTGTTGTTGATTAGTATGGCTGGATTGAGTTATCTGAGATAATTGCGCGTTCATGGGTTGGTTTAAAAGGGGCTATGTATCGATACTCGAAACCACGATCAGCAATGCAGCGATTGGCCGGCGGCAAGACAGCAACGTAATGACATCATTTCATTAAAAAAGACACCTGACGAAAAACTTGACAAATTTCTGGACTTTTATAAGGAAACAGCCAAGCGAACAAAACTACATAAATGTTATAATAGATAAATGAAATGTGCACTGTTTTTATTTGACTTTAATTTTTTTTCATGAGCTTTTTGGACATTTGCCAAAAATATAACTTTTTTTTTTTATTAAAAACAATCGATTAAGCCCAGCCCAGACGAGAAAAAGTAACGCAAAAGTAGGCCTGGGTGATAAAACGGTATCAAGATTTATCGACGGAACACCTTTGATAACGATAGAAACATTTTTCGATATAGTGCACGATATAGGCACGTGCTATGAGTGACTCAAGACAGCACACACAAACACGAACACATGCTGAATTGAATGCTGTGCCTGCCTGTGATGAGGAGATTGTGAATAAAGAGTGAATATTAGTCGAATTTAAAATAAACATTTGCATTTGAATATTAGATGTGCGTCAGGGAGCGTCATCAGTGGCGCGCGAGATGCAGTGATAATGTTGTAAGTGATGTTGTTGCATTTTAATGTTTTGTTAGTCTCGCCCACGAGATGCGCCGCTGCTGTGTTATGCATTCAAAATATTAGAGAAATATAGAAGCTCAATGCGTAGAAGATCTTGAATGGGTTAAAACCGAAATCAAGCCATTCACACAGAACGCATATTCAGCGCATTTTTAGACTGACAAATATGACTGCTGCACTCTCGTCACACAAGAGATGTATAGAAAGCCATGCAAAGTTAAAACAGTTTAAACTTTTAGAAAAAACGTCACGAATTTGTGGAGGTTTATTCCTTTTCACTGCATCTCTTATGTTTTTAAATGCAATCTGCGTGATGGGCGATTTGGTTTGTTGTTTGTCTCAATAAATTGTGTTAATTATAAATACAGTGGTTAAATAAAAAAAAAAAAATTCTATTGCTTTTTGTTTTAAAAAAAAGGTTATAAAAATGTCAATAATTATCGATATCGCACGATATGAAACATTATATCGTTGATACATTTTTTGCTATATCGCCCAGCCCAACGCAAGAGTTTTTTTTTTTTTCATAAAAAGTAACCAAGTAGTGCAATTAGTTACTCTTTTACAGAGTAACACAACATTCTAATGCATCACTTTAAAAAATTAACTTTCCCCAACACTAACAACTAATGTTTTAAAAATCATTCTAATTCTATGAGAATAGAGGTCCACACCACAACTATAGCAGTAACGACAAAGAGGAACAATCACTTTCAAAACGACTTTTTCCAGCTGAAGGAAGGATTAAAAACATCGACAGCCAATCAGAATCCACTCAAAGAGCTCAAGCACTTAAAGCGACAGACAACAAAACTGTAGTGCGTGCTTCTAACAAACAAATCCTTATTGTGCGTTGATCTGAACGCTAATATAGTTATCTTTATAGTTATATTTTTTGTCTGAACAGGCCTTAACTATACAATTATGTAGTCTTCATACCTGGTTTCCAGAGCAGACAGGAAAATCTTCCACTGGGGGGATCAGTCCTTGAGCAATCAGCTGTCCATATGATGGAGGAGCTTCTCTTCTCAGTAACTCAGCTTCCACTCTAGAGAGCTGAGTCTCAAATGACCTGGAAGAACAACCAGTGCATTAATTGGTAGTTGACGAGAGAACAGTCACAACAATCCAGTTCTATTTTAGCTCTAGTCTGGCTAGCTACGCAACAAGTGGCTTCGCTTACCTGCGCTCAAACATCCTGAGTGAGTAGAGTTTGCATGTGCAGCCCAGAGCAATGACCAGCAGCAGGCCGCAAATCAGACTCCCGATTACAGCGGCTGTGATGACTCGTGTGGGTACGATTACCGGGCAGCTCTCCTCATCGCTTCCGTCCCCGCAGTCGTCTTGAGCGTCACACACCCAGCTTTCAAAAACACAGCGGTTGTTCTTGCAGTGGAAGTTTCCAGGTTGGCAGAAAAAGCAGTTCTTCTCATCAGAGCCGTTCGGGCAGCGGTTCTGGTAGTTGCACCGGTCAGAGCGTGGGTAGCAAGCACCGTTTCGTGAGCATGGGAACTCGTCTTCCTGGCAGTTGCTGCAGTTGAGCTCGTCCCTGCCATTGGGACAGTGCCAGTAGCCGTCACAGCGCTGTTGTTCAGTGTAGCAACCCCAGTTCCCTCCGCATGGGATTTCCCATGGCAGGCAGAAACCGTCTACTTGATACGTAACGTTAAAGCCTCGAGCTGCATTGATTTTGTCAGCATAAAAGTGTATCCGAAGCTGTCCTGAAGATGACACCACCGCTACAGGGGCTCGAGAGTCGAACGCTGTCAACACACGCAACAGACGCCTGGGGTTTTCCTCTAATCCATCGTAGACTTTAACATAATCGCCATAGCCTGTGCCGTCCAGCTTGAAGTCCATAAAGCGCAAGATAACCTTACGGTGGTCACCAGTGTCGATCAGCCAGGTGCAGTTACTACCAGGCGGATAGAAGTCAGGATAGTTGGGCGAGCTGAAAGTACCGTAGAAATTGTGCAGCCATTCCCCACAGGTTGGCACGTCACAGTCAATCTCATCACCCAAGTCCTGACAGTCAATGCTGCCGTCGCATTTGAGCGACTCCGGCAGACAGGTGTAAACACGGGTGTAGCGTGAGAGACAAGGGAACTGGTTGAAGGCGCAAGGCTGGAAGGAGAAGAACGCGGAGGGATTAGGCTGTACGCACAACTCCTCGTCTGAGTTATCGCCACATTCATCCATGGTGTTACACTTCCATGACTCTGGGATACACTTTCCATTAGCGCAGTGGAATTGGTCAGGCTTGCAGCTGGCTTCTTCGGATTTCCCTACCAATTACACACAGATATTACCCTTTAGAAAAGACTTCAGCAATGTTTGGTTACTGACTTTTTGGAATATCTATGTTTCAGAGGATGTTTATAACATGGTCAACAGGAAAAAGTAAGTCTGAGATCTATAGCTATAGTCAGCATTAAGTCAAAAGTACCCACGAAATTCTGGTCTCTAAACATGACTTGGCACCCCCCCATTCAATGCTAGTCTGTGACATCTAATCCCATTTTATCTGGCCAAGTGGAAATGATTGAGATTTAAGTTTGAGCAATGACAACAGTGATGCTTGCCTTAGAAAAAAAAAAAAACGATTCAAGAATGACGTTAATGCATTCTTGAAAAGCAGTTCGTTTTTCAGTAACCTAATACAATTTAAGAGTGAGAGAATTTACTAGTGTTGCATGTCGGTGTGAGACATCTCCGTAACTGCATCCTCTCTGATACAGCTGCATCTAAAGGGATATTTAAAGCAGGTCTACCTGTTATGTAAGAAAGCCTGAAGCCTTTTCCAGTCATGCTGTCATCAGAGTGAAACTTGATCCACACGTGATCCTGAGAGGAGATGTATGGGGCCGGAATAGACGAGCCACAGGCCCGGTACCCATCCAGGTTCTTGTAGGTTCCAATGGAGATCCAGTCCAAACCACATCTGTGCGAGCTCTGAATTTCAAAGTCCTGAAAACTAAAAGTACCACCGGTTTTAAGTACAGGAACATTGGGTATGTGCATGACAGTATTAAATACAGTATCCCTGTCATCAATGAGTTCATTCAAATTACACATGATTGCATCTTGTTGCATCACATGCCTCAAACATCAATAGATCCAGACTTGTATTATTTATTGTATTGTTATTAAGAAGTACCAATTAAGAAATGGTGCTGGGAAAAGCTCTACCACACTAAATACCTATAAAAAGAAAGGTATACTTGTGGGACTCGTGTCTCGCTGAAAACTGTACCAATCATCTTTTTAAGACTATCCTATTCGCAGAATTAGTGAGTTGCTGTGTTTACCACAAAAAACACATCCTGTGGAAAAAAAACACCCATTTGGTCTATTTCTGTGCCAGTAACCATGGACACCATTCTCGGATAAAGACGCAAACAAACACTCTGGTTGAAGCAAACAGGCAGTGCAAGAATAGAGCAGATGCGGAACATAAAAATAGAAATAAAAAAAGCTTTCAAAAAGAGTTTGAGGTGGCAGCAGCTAAAAAAAAAAAACATACCATTATTCCTTTAAACCAAGACAGAACTCAAAATACAATCCAAACCCCTTGATAATTCAAGAGATGCTGCTCTGCCTTAAACATCTCCGTTGTAATGACAAACAAATAGATCCCCAAAGTTTTGCATCTGTATCTAAAGAGGCAGATTGTTTTAGCAAAAGCAGTTGTTTGCATTGATACAGAGAAGCAGATTCCACCAGCACTGCAGGAATTCACAGTGACTATGACCAAAATTCAACTAAGAGTCTGCGGTTAAACCTGTAATTAAGGCAAACTGTGAAGGACATCTTTTATTATTGATCAGCTCTTGACTGCGTCAGTGGAATGGCAAATATTGCAGTATTGTGGCGAGGTGTTACCTGATGGTGATGATCTCTCCAGGGTTGGCCCTGATGTTCCAGCTGCAGTTGATGCGAGAAGGGTATTCAAAGGGCCAGCCAGGGCTGGTTATCACTCCACTGGACGCCCTTATCTGCCCCGCTACATCGCCACAGGCTGAGGAAGACCACAAAAATATAAAGATTAAGACCCTGCGTGCATATTTCAACACATAACGGGTGATTAAAGGTAGGGTAGGCGATTTCGGAGAGGCTAGCAATGGCAAGCTAGCTTTGAAAGCATAAGATCCCACCCTCCCTGCATAATCACTCTTCAAAGCCACACCTCCTCCACAGGGCCTGAATTTGTTTTGGAAAATGGGGGGGAATTCCCCCATTAGGTGGCTCTTATGGTGGGGGGGGGTTATTTGAGGGGGGAGTTAGGGTATATTTTTAGAAATATATTTAAACTACAATCATCCAACCTAAATGTTTCGTCACCCAGTGTATTTGTGTTTTACAATTTATAATGTTGTTGATTTATATTTATATTGTGAGGAAGATACTTAAAAAAAACTTATTCAAACTCTAAACACTAAAAAAGACAAGTAAACCGTCAGTAATAAAATAAGAATAGAAAATTACAAGCAATGGCACAAATACAATAACAAGATACAACTAAAATGAACTGTGCTTTAAGTTTGTCAGGTAGGTATAACAGTAATATTCAGGTACAGAAATACCACAGAAACTGAATAATCTACTTAACTTTAAAATAACACTGGTTAGTCTTCAATGTATAAATAAACATTAATGACAGACAGCAGCAGGTTTATTTAGGTTGCTGTCTCTTTAAGACCTCATGCGCGGCTCTAACGGCTACACATAAGTTTTGTTTATCAACTGTTTACATTCACTTAATAGCCTATAACCGACAATGTTTAGTATAAATCGAATGCTTACGTGAATACTTATCAAGACGGGCATTTTGACAATTTTGTATGTATTTGGCCATTTACACGCAATAAGGAGCAACACAACTTCATTCTGTAGTCTATGTGCGCGCGATTTGGGTGTAAGCTCCAGTGTTGCCAAGTCCGCGGTTTTCCCGTGGAATTGGGCTACTTTAAGACGGTTGCCGCGGGTTGTAGCGACTCCAATAACATGATATTTATCCCCTGGATTGCGAATTTTAGCAAAAACGTGTATTTTACCCCCCGTAACGCGATTTTTGACTGGGGACCCCCTCGAAACGCAACTGGGCTAGTTTTGAGCAGCGATTAGGCGGGTTTTCTTGTGAAAACCTGGCCACCCTGGTGAGCTCACAGAAAGGGGTCTCACAGACAGCGCGCAAGCACTGAATTGAGCACTTGAATGTTTAAAATTGTAAGACTCAAATGCACGTGCAAATGATACATTCCATCATCTGTCCCGAGCGGGAATTTCCCGCGCTACAAGTGTGGAAACTGTGGGAATCAGTAGAATTATGCGCAATCCCGCACCGAAATTCAAGCCCTGCCTCCAGAACACATGCACGCGCACAGGCAGACCAGAGGCTAACCAGCGACTAGGGATGTAACGATTCACCGCGAGCCGGTTGAAAATAGATACAAATGTGTGACTATTCAAATCGGTTGAGATGTTAAACGAATCGCGATACATTTGGGGGTGGGAGTTTATATGAATAAGAATTTATACAACAGTTCATTCTGGTTCTCAAATCTGATTGGTTGAGAACTGTGAGATATTGTACTGGTATCGCTACAGGAACGCCCTTTCACAATTTTGTATCACTCCGCTTCTTCTAGCCGGGTCTATGTTTTTTTTTTTTTATTATTCACTGAGCTAATCGTAGAGTACGTTAGTTAATATAAGAAGAAACGTCTAGCTTCGCAATCTCTCTCTCTCACTTGGATGCACGTCTTGCCGCATTGTTTCTCTCTTATAACCTCATTAATTCTCAGTAATAACCTAACTGAAGCAGCACATGCCCTTGATACGAATTCTAAAAGTGACGTATGCTTAACTGTCAACTTGAGCTTTGAATCCGTGGCGGAAGGAAGTAGTTCCGCACAAAAGAGGGTTTTATTAGGCACTCCGTTGTTTCTCGTTTAATTACACACGTTCCGTCGAACTGTTGTATAAACGCAATATCACTCTCGTACTCGAGCGATACCGGCTCTATATCAGTGGCTGTGATTAGGCCAGAGGCACGAGGTCGCAGGCCGAGAAGAGCTATCTAGAGTTATAGAGCCGGTATCGCTCTCGTACTCGAGTGATATTGCTCATGTATCTCTGAGGGGAACTGACTGTCTTTAGAAAAGTTTAGATGATATTAATGTTTTATGTAGTATAGTTTCAGAAAACTAAAGTCAGAGCATTCTGTTTTTGTTTTAAAATTTCAAATTATACAATATAATTTAGATTTCAGTAGAACTTGCCAAAAAACTGCTCATGCTGCATGTATTCAGCATCTTTGTTTGGATTGGGATTCAAATGCAGTGGTTGCCTCTAATTTTGAATGGAAAGAGCACAGGCAAAGCCTTTGTTTATATGAAGATTTTTTTTGGTCTTATTTATTTGATTAGATTTAGGGTTTGTTTTAAAATTTCAATTTAGTTTTGTTATGTGACATATTTCTGTTTCACAAAGAAATGTGCAGCATTTTGTCCAAGCAATAATAAAAGGACACCTTTTCATTAATAATTTGTCTTAAATCTAATTTTATTTAGAAAAAAATTTAATCGTGAAATCAGTATCGTGAATCGAATCCTGAGTTGAGTGAATCGTTACATCCCTACCAGCGACACGATGAGAAACGTTGGTTGAGGATTGAATGCAGTGCTGTCAGATTACCTCATATCTCATTCACCGGTAAAAAAATATTACAGCACAAAGCACAGAATATTACAATAATGCCTTCCATTTTCGCTCGGTCTGCAATAGTGTGATGCAACACGCTGATGACGGATCATGTCTGCGTGAATGGGGTGCAGAGGAAGCCCTCGGATCGAGGAATATGATTGTACATTTTACGCTCCTACGCGTTCCACAGACGATACAAATACATATAAATACATTTAGACCACTTAACTTAGTGATTGCTATCGGGATGTGAAGACACTTTCAACCAGCATCACAAAAAATGTTTTTGAACAAAACAATGCTAGAAAAACAGCTGGTCTACTAATGAAATGGGGTGGATGAAAGAGTAGCAAGTAACCTTTCATTTAACAGTTACTCAGGCAAGAGGTAACATGTGCAGACTAATCTGGGCTAAATATCATGAGCCTTTATATGTCTTACATTCCTTTGATCTCCAGAGGCACATTCAGCTCCCTACAAGCCGTGTTTAATCCACACAGAGTTTAACCTGAGTCTATTTTGCTCTGAAGATTAATCAAATCTACCACCTGGGTCTGTAAACCAAATATGAAGTCAGGACTCACCGTTTGACATGCCTGATACATATACGTTCTCGCTGTGCTGCGACGAAACCGCATTTCCTGTAAAAACAGAAAAACATATTTCCAATGAATAAGATGCATATGACACTGCTGTGCTGAAGAAAGCAATACGTGTAGATGAAAACCTAAAGGGGGCAAAGAGCTGATCCTTTAAACTTAATCTGGTGTGCAGCAGGGCTCTGAAAACCAAGGGCTGAAATTTCATCCACAGCTGGACGCAAGCAGGAACAATGTGTAGTCATTATCAAACCGATATTAAAATATCACATTTGTGTGTGACAGACTGACCCAGAATGCTTTCAAATTCAGAGAATAATTCAGAAGACACAATGCTTCACTTCAAAATCAGAATGCAAAATAAATGCTGTACCTACTTTGTAATTAAGCCGACAGCATAACCAAAGCTGATTGCTATATATTTTAAATGCATGTATACATGTAAGAGATGAAGCCATGAACACCAGGCCTGCATAACCCTCGGATAATATTTTGATCTGTTCTGACTGATCGAAGCCACATTTCATCGTTCCTCTAACCTAATTTTGTAAAGTGACTTTGGGCTTTGGAGAGGCACTATAAAAATAAAAAAATAGTTTGTTGCACTTTCTGTATTTGGATCAAAATTTCAGAAATTACTTGATAATGCTGGAAGCAGTTAGATGTAAACATGAACAAATCAATGCATGCTATTGTTTTTCAGTCAATTTGCATTTAACTGCCATTCAGTTACATTTTAGCAGTAACATTTCCAGTCAAAAGAAGAAAAAAAACATCCTTATTGTTGAGCAATCAACTGTTTTGCAGCAGATTATATGATTTTATATGGACAGTTAGAGAGAGGGAATTTTCCAAACAAAATCAAAAGTGAAAGGAAGATCGAAGAAAAAATTCCCCAAAACATTTACGATTGAAAATTCCCAATCAGGTCAAATAAATAGAGGTGGAGAGGAAATAAATGAGAAAACGAAGGGCAAAGGATTCAATTTGTTTTGTTTTCAGCCAAGATTCAATCACAGAGACAGACAGACGTGAGGAAACAATAGAAGTCTTTGTTCCCTTCATTCACCCCGATCTGATCTCAAAACACAGGCTATGTTATTACATTCACTCTAACGTTACATGTGTGTCTGAGAGTTTCGCTCCGTTTCTGTGGCAGTAATTAAATCAACCCTCATTTAACCATTAGAGAAACCCCAATGCATGTGAATGCACACTTACACTGAAATATCACTAGTCTGTAATTGCACTGAAGCGACATTATTTAGCATGTAGGAAATACTACATCATACCACAAAGGCTATTTTATTATAACCAACCATTTTAACACATGAGGAGATTCATGAGCTGATATTTAGAGTAACGTTAGCGAAATAAAGTGTCTTACCCATGAAAATGAAGAGTACGTGTGTCCATAGCAAACAGATCTCGTTTAAGCTCGAAGTATAGGCCATACTAGCTTTAAACGATTAAATGTGCTACTCTGTAGCGTCAGTATCGTTATTTATACACAATATCTGTGTTTGCGAGTATTACCAGAGACACCAGCTGTTCAACATTTCCTTTTTTTTCTACTCCTGTCTTAACAAAACACTGATGTTACAACCAAACGAACTTCTTATATACACGACAGTAAGATATACACACTAAAATAATCGATAAGATTGAATAAAAACGAAATTTCCCCTCACTAAAAACCAAAGTGAGCGAAATCACAATCAGTCTTCCCAACAAAGGAGTCGATAATGCTAACAAGCTAATGCTAATGTCAACCTACACCGCTACTCTAACCTACTAATATCAACTCATAGATTCATTGAATGAACCTCTGAGTCCAAACGCACACTTATCTAATTAGTAAAGCAGCTAAATCCTTTCCGACGTCCATCGCTGATAGATTTGGAGATAAAATGACTGAAGGCACCAGCGCTTGACTAGCCGGCTGTGCTAGCGCTTTTGTTGTTGGCTCGCGAGCTCCTGTAAAACACACACAAACAGTGTCCTTAAAGGCCTGAGACGAGATCAACACTAATCTATCGATGATCCGACGTGAAAGCGCTAATTCCGAGAGTTTAAATGTGTTAAACAAGCCTAATCCAGACAAATATAGCCACACACTGATCTACAGCATGATGGCACGAGCTGAAGTCTTGCCGAATCAAATACTGAAAATAAAACTAGACATCAGGCTTAATCGACAGCATGATCGTCTGCTGCTCTGACTGTAATCCACACGCCGAATTTCGGCCTTTCTGATCGGTTGTGTGTTGTTACAGCCGGGTATTTACCACCACAAACCACCCCTTCCCCCCTCTAACCAATAGTATATATCTCTCTCCTCATCCTTTCTCTCTCAATCACATAAATACATACAGTAAATACTTTCTTTCTTTCTTTCTTTCTTTCTTTCTTCCTTCCATGTTTTTGAAAGAAGTCTCTTAGCAAGGTTGAATTCTTTATGATACTTCACAAGCAATAAAAAAATAAATAAATTATTAAATAAATAAATAAATAACTGGAGCGTGTTGTAGATTTTTCTTCTGTAAAGCGACCTCTGTATATTACTCTTTGGTTCTTGGTGTAGGCTATTGTATTTTACTATAAATGCTTGTTATTTGTCTGTATTACTCTAAACTAATTTTGTAAAGCGACCTTGGGCGTTGGAAAGGTGCTAGAAAATTATTATTTGCTCAAATATGCAATAAAACAGTATTATTGTGAAAAATGATTACAATTTAAAACAACTGTAATAATTTATATTTGAATATATGTGACCCTGGACCACAAAACCAGTCATAAGGGTCAATTTTTCAAAATTGAGATTTATACATAATCTGAAAACTGAATACATAAGATTTCCATTGATGTATGGTTTGTTAGGAGAGGACAGTATTTGGCTGAGATACAACTATTTTAAAATCTGGAATCTGAGGGTGCAAAAAAAATCATCTTTAAAGTTGTCCAAATGAAGTTCTTAGCAATGCATATTACTAATCAAAAATTAAGTTTTGATATATTTACGGTAGGAAATAACTAATCAAAAATTAAGTTTTGATATATTTACGGTAGGAAATTTACAAAATATCTTCATGGAACATGATCTTTACTGAATATCCTAATGATTTTTGGCATAAAAGAAAAATCTATCATTTTGACCCATACAAAGTTTTTTTGGCTATTGCTACAAATATACCCCAGCGATTTAAGACTGCTTTTGTGCTCCAGGGTCACATATGTTAAAATTTTTACATTTATTTACTTTGTAACATTGTCTTTACTGTCACTTTTGATCCATTTAATGCATCACTGCTGAATAAAACTAGCAATTTATTTCTTAAAAAAAAAAAAACACTTAAGTCAAACTTGGATGAATGGTAGTGTATTACAGGGTTTACACACACACACACACACATACACACACACACACACACACAAAAGCAGCACAACTGTTTTCAATATTAATAATAATAATAATAATAATAATAATACATGTTTCTTCATCAGCAAATCATCATGTTAGAATGATTTCTGAAAGATCACGTGACGCTGAAGACTAGAGTAATGATGCTGAAATCTCAGCTTTGATCACAGCAATAAATTACATTTTACAGTATATTCTAATAGAAAACACTTATTTTAAATTGTAGTAATATTTCACAATAGTACTGTTTTTACAGTATTTTAGATTAAATAAATGCAGCCTTGGTGAGCATAAGAGACATCTTTCAAAAACAATAAAAAAAAATCTTAATTATTACAAACTTTTGACTGATAGTATTACAGATTTATTCATATTATTTATAAAAGTACTGTAGTATTATGATCACCATAGAATGTAAGGGAGTAAGTGGCACTCCTATCATTTTATCAAAGGCAAACTAGCTTTGAATTTACAAATTCAGTGGCCTTTATTTGTCTGCCCTCTTGCATCCACGAAACATGTTATGTAATCATATGATTATGATTAAACATGTTATGTATTTCTGTGGTGTTCACATTTGACCTCTCAGTAGTAACCGTCTGCATCAAATATTTTTAATAATTATCTTTTTAAATAATTTCCAAAGTTCAGAGGAGCCAGGGCAACTGTGGAACGACCCAGAAGACAAAACTGCAACTAATGTATTGTAACAGAGAGACATACACCCGCTCTGTTGAACAAAGGCTGTGACCGCGGGGTCTCGCTGTCATTATAGTCAGAGAGGTCACTGCATTCAGGAGCCCCAGTATTGTTGAGCTCAGACATCAGGGGTTGCAAAACCAACATCTGTCTCTATGCAGAAGGCCCACGTGCCCCTCAGTGAAGCTCACAGTGAGTGACAGATGTTGTGTCATCCACGCATGCCCAAACAACAGGGTTAAATCCCTTAGGAAGCAAACAGATGGTTTGAGATTTTTTGTTCTCAGTGTCCAAAAGCTTTGTATTTTTTATTATGTAATTTTTTAACCGGACAAATCAAATGTTCTCAAAATACACTGTATAATGTTTATAGTGGCCACCACTGTCATTCACTATTGTGGCTTATGTACTTTCTGTAGTATTCAGAAGAAGAAAAAAATTTGCATGCACTAGAATACAAAAGAAAAAGAAAAAAAACATCCTGTGGCTGTTTATTAGTACTTATAAAGCACATTTTAATGTCTTATTCTGCCTGATCATATTCTAGATCCCTTAATCCACTCCATACCTAAACCTAACAACTACCTTACTAACTATTAATAAGCAGCAAATTAGTAGTTTATCAGAGCAAAGGTCATAGTTAATAGTGAGAATTGATCCCCAAACTAAAGTGTGACCGAAAACAATATATTTATATAATTCAAATTCAGCATAAATCAAAGCAAAGGATTTTCTGCAGTGTTGCCACTAAATGCATCATTTGTTGTGATGGAAATGACATCAATACTGAGAAATAAATGATTTTCATACAAGAAATAATTATGCTTATTTTACTCATATTGTTGTGTTTTTACATTTATTCATTTAGCAGATGCTTTTATCCAAAGCAAATTACAAATGAGGAACGCAACAAACAATTCAATTTTAATTTAGTTCAATCTTATTTAATTTATTAATAATTTAATTCTTTGTAATTAAAATGAAGCCATAATACAAGAAGTGCTAGCAATACAAAGTTTCAAATATTGTCTAGAATTGGACAAGCTATATGAAGGAGGTATATGCATAGATAGAGAGAGAAGATCATTCCACCGGCAAGGAACAGTGAAAGGAAATGTTCTGGAAAGTGGATCTGAACAAAAGTAAAATAATAATACCTATACATACATAAAAACATTTGAAAAGTAGCAAAACTGAAATTAGACATGCAACGAATTTTTATAAGTATAAAAAAAAAGCAATTCAATCTTTACTCTAAGCTGCTGGAAGATTGTTATTTGTTAATAATAATAATAATAATTTTTTTAACTGAAATCAAAACATTTTTTCTTATTGTTATGGAAAATTGCAGGGTTTATTATAATGATTTATCTGTGCACATCATTATTTTTCTTATATGCAGATGCACAAAATGTAATAATCTAATTAATTTAATAAAAATATTTGTGTGTGTGTGCGTGTCTTTTTATTATTCAAAAACAGATGAAAAAATACAAACACTTTCAGGAAAACATTAAAAGCATTTAAAAAAAAATCTGTATACATACATATGAAGAGGATAAGTAAACTATAAAGTACATTTAAGAAATAATGATAAATAGGAAAAAAAAAACATATAAGATAAAAATAATTTTATAATTTAATAATCTCTTCTCTGATGACGTGTGCACTAGTGCGAGGGCTGGCTAAGTTTCACTATAATGGCAAGACTGATTCATTTTACAGACTCTTTCATTTTATCTAGATCAAACCTTTATTCAAGTAGTTTAGTAAATTTGAAAACACAAATAATTGATTCCCTTCGAGTCTCTCTGTCATTTGTCACGTGACGTGAAGGAATCGATTACTATTTTACTCTGATGTACGTCACAATAGAGAAGATAATATGGTAGCAATTTCTGACTTTAAAATTAAAATGTGTGCATTGACACACACAGACCACACAGAAAAACAAGTCAAACTAATTTAGCCCAGCTATTTAACCTGTGAGAGCACAAGAAAAGACCCCCCACAACATTCATGACCTTCACTACCCTTACGAAAAAGAAGTTTATTCAAGTGTGCTATTAGTATACATATTTTAAACTAAAAATAGGAAAGTATACTTTCAGTCAAATTTGATGTACTTCTCAGAAATGGGCTTTATGTACTTCTCAGAAATATACTTAAAGTATACTTGACATTTAAGTATACTTGACTTATACTATATTACTAATATATACTAATATATTTGAGCTATACTTGTGCTTGTATGCACAGAATGTTTTCATTGTTATACTGTAGGGGGCGTTAGTACACATCTTCTGTACAGAATTTCCAAAACACAAGAGAAGAAGAAACAAAACAACAGAGCTTCCACTTGTATTCTAACATGATCATCAGACATAAAACAGCATCAAAACTGTGTAACGTTATGGAATAAAATGTCGACCAATGAAGAGGTAATAATGACTGTTAAGCTTTGGGGTGTTGATCGACTTTATCTTCGTTTTGATTATCATTCTGAATCCAATTCATAGTCTTTTTTCAGCTTTTTGTTCAAAATCTTGTTTATTTCTTTATTTTTTTATTTATGAAACTTACCCACATTCAAGTGTTTAAAAAAAGAATGCATGAAGCTAGAATAAAATGTTTTTGTTTACAAGTTTACTTTCTTTTGATGTTTTGTATGTTTAGATATTTATGTAACAAAATATATACAAATTAATACCTAAATAGGGACATAGTAGTATACTTAAAGTATGATGTAAAGTTCACTTAAAGAAAACTTACGAGTATACTTGCAGTATAAAAC